CCCCCCCCCCCCCAGCTGTACACCTCCTGTACGTCGGCTGGGCTTCTACTGTGCTCTACTGCGGCTTGAGCTGCACTTCTCTTCCCTTTCGACCCTCTGAGTTTCAGGAGGGAGTTTGTTTGAAACAAGCGCAACGTCACTGGTGAAGTGGTGAAGACTGGTAACGAGTCCATGGGAACTAATATGAAGTGTTTTTGAATGTTTTCAGTTTATGCAGCTGCGCAAAAGCTGCACGATTAAACTGAACTGCAGTTTTAACTGGGCAGAAAACCGAAGAGTCAGCAGAACTGAACCGACCATCTCCACTGCTCCTCCTTCTTTCTTCTGTCTTTACAGCTCCAGTTCTCGTTTTTATTTATTTCTTACTAAAAGATTCTGAATGCAGGCCAATTTCTCGTCACTTACGGTACGCTGGATTTCTACAGCCTCACATCCTCCCGTTGCTCCCGTTTCTCCCTCCAGCAGCAGTGCGTCCGCGGCTGTGCGTAAAAACCAAATCCTCCCCCTCTCCAAACCGTGCCGTGAGAGGGTTCACTAGTACCAGCACTGTGTCAGCCTCCCGACTCACTTTCTCTAGAGCTACCGACTAACCATGGATGTATTCAGGAGCCGGATGTTGGGGATTTCCGTGGCCGTTGCGCACGGCGTTTTCTCCGGCTCTCTGAACATCTTGCTGAAGTTCCTCATCACCAGTTATCACTTCACCTACTTGACTCTCATCCAGTTCCTGACCAGCAGCACCGCGGCGCTCACTCTGGAGACCCTCAGGCGGATGGGGAAGGTCGAGATCCCCCCGTTCAGTTTGCAGCTCTCCAAGGTAAAAACTGTTTGGTGATCCCGAGATTTCCAGAGGTGCTTGTAACTGCAGTGCGAAATGTTCATATCAGGGGCCTGGAACTTGTATCTGTGTATATTGCATATAAAATCTATTTAAAGCACATGTCTTGCAAGTATTTAGTGTCTATACGACAAAATAAAACTAAAACATTTTAAATTGTTACAATTAACCAGCTAATAAATTCGACCAGCCTGTATTTAGTTTTGCAAAGTACTACATAAATAATACAAGTGCAAATTGTTGCTGAAGCTGTGACATCTTAGTCATTTTCTTAATCCCCAGTCCCCCTAGTCCAGTCT